TTTATTTTAATTCCTTTAGTGTTTATTTTATTTTCTTTAGTAGTTTTTAGTTTATATTATTTTTATATCTTTAGTATTAATATACTTTTCAATAAATATTTTTGGGTTTTCTTTGTGCTACGGTTCTTTTCCGAGGAATATTTTTGTGTTGAACCGGGTGACTTTTCCCTATGATGGATGGCGTGATGACTTTATTAAGGGAATTAGTCTTGTTTTGTTATGTGGAGACTTTTGGATTGTTTGGTACTAATAAAACTAGTCTCTTGTATGTGAAGTGTGAATTAAGAATACCCTTCCGAATTTTGGTTATAAATTAAAAAAGTAAGTTGCATGGGGAAGAATAATTTTTGTGATAACATTTTTGCTCATTTGTGACTCTTTGTCAACTAGTTGGCATGATATTGCTCTAATTGATCTTATTAAAAAGTGAAACTGATCTGTCTTGATTAGTTCATGTTCCATGTGTGTATAGTTTTTGTTAAATATAATTCTTCTGTTTACTTTTATCATTTAGAACTTATCCGGTTTATCTTTCAATGCTAATGTTAATTATGTTTGGTTGGAGGAATGACCTTAGGCATTCTTTGTGATCTTTGAAAAAGTCTCGTTAGCATTTCGAGCCTACCATTACATAAATATTATCACTAGTTAACCCCATTTGAGCCTTTAACCTTTTCTTTAGTTACCTCATTACAAACCTTTACCCTTTTTGTGAAATAATTCCCTCCTTTTAACCTGTCCCTCCTTGAATATTGAAGATAAGGCTAAAAGCCTAAGTTGGGGGTGTTGGTATTAATTGGAAAATGGTGAAGATGTACATTGTGTGTAGAAACATATATCTCAAAGTTGTTTATATGAAGATACTCAAACTCCAAAAGAAAATAGTTGTCTAAAAAAAATACTGAGTCTTGAGAAAATTAGAGAGGTACTTTAAGGTGGTTCTATGTTGGTAACTAGATGTCAATAAGGGCTATGTGGTATAAAAAGAAGCAAAGTGTAAAAATAAAGATAAATGTGAGTAGTGTTCAAGGAGGGTGTTGTCAGTTGTATCCCAAATACTTATCCTACCCTTCCCTAAGCCTACATTATAAGCTTAAAAAGTCCTTATGGAATCTCCAACCGAATGTTCTTGAATAGGTGGCGAATTAAAATAAGGGCAAGCTTATGGCATGATATTTTGTAATACTTGAAATTCTTTGTTGAGAGTGAGTGTCTCTGTGCATTTGTCCCTTGTGTTGTTATTATAAATATAGTGATTTTGGGACTTTCTTTCTTGTGAGGACACATGGATTATGATGGATTGGTGACATTGATAGATTCTGAATTGAGTAAATTGAGCATATGTAGTAGACTAGTGCTTTGAGTCAGTTCTTGAGTCTTGGCTGTTGTCACTTGATTATTTTAAAACTCCATTGTATTCTTCAAATTGTTTTAAATGAGGGAGTTGTTTGGTTGAAGTTCACATAATTGAGCCTAATTATTAGTATCAACCAAAACCATAAGTATTGTGCTTAATTGGAGAATGTGAATTGAAGATGATAGAGATGCTAATTGAGATTTAAATGGTAGAGCCTCATTGAGTATTTGATTTTAATTTGCTTGAGGATAAGCAAAAGCTTTAAGTTGGGGGTGTTGATGAGTGATGATTTTACCATTTATTTTAGTCTCTTTTCTTTAGTTTTTGTGTCCTTTAATTATAATATGAGATTGTTTATGCTATGTATTGCTAGATTTTTAGGTAAATGATGTCATGAAGAGAGTTAAAGTCAATTGAAGTGGAATTGAGCAAAAAAGAGTTAAAGAAGCATAAATTCCTTCAATGATTCCGCATCTGCGGAACACTGTTCGCTTCTGCGAGCTCGCATCTGCAAGTATAGGGCCGCATCTGCGGAAAGCCCAATCCTCCGCTGGAATCGCATCTGCGTTAGGTTATCCGCATCTGCGGAAGCGCTCCTGTGCAAAATAGTCTGCAACTGCGCATGCTCTTCGGCGCCTCATCGTCTGCGTCTACAGAACTCCAATTGTCTACTCATTGTCGCTTCTGCGAGCTAGAATCCGCTTCTGCGGAACCGCACTTGGGGGGCCAACGGGCATCACACCTGGGCAACTTAGGCATTTCACATTTTCTCCATTCCAAACCCACAAATACACGACCTAGCTCATTTGTAAGATATCTTTGGCTTATTTTTCAGTCTCTTGACTAGAGAAGACAAGTTTTGAAGCTAGGGTTCTTGCACACACACTTGGGTCTTAAAGATTTGAAACTTTGGTTGAGAATTTCTTACTCATTTATGTTCATTTCTTTATTTCCTTGCTTTGTATTGTATATCTAAGTGTAGTATTTTTTCTAACACTTAAATCTTATTTATGGGAATATTCGTATTTAAAATATGAATTAAATATCTTATTGTGCTTATATATTAAATGATTTTTATTTATATTTGTAGTGATTCGCTACTGATTCAAAGGAAAATGAAAAATGCAATAAAATAGTAAAGAATTTAGATAAGGAAAAAGGGATTCATTTTATTCATATCTCTGATTACAATGATTGGAATCCTAAATAGTGTTCAGAGAAAAAAAGGCCAGCTAAGGAATTGTAACAACCTACCTCATTAGTAGACAGGTGTTCACCTTCAAGAAAGAGTAAAAGACTAGAAAAATGACAAAAGGACTTAACTATATCCTATGCAACTTAAGGACTAATGAGTAAATAAAGAAACTATGGCATTAAGCTGGGCTAACTAATAATGAATTAAGCTTCATCAGCACATGTCGGACACCACATTCCACTCTCCTTAAGGAATTTTGATCAAGGATAAAAATCTGGAAATTGACTTCTTAGAAATGAATACTCCTCCCAAGTTGCTTCTTCAGGAGAAAGATTAGCCCATTGAACCAAAACCTCAGCGACTACTTTGTTCCTCTTCTTTACCATCCGACGATCTAGAATCCTCAAAGGCTCTGTCAAAATATGCCCATCAGAAGTGCAGTAAGGGGGATCCTGGATCACAAAAGCTCTTTCCCGACTTTCTTCTTCAATTGTGACACATGGAAGACGGGATGGATTTTTGATCCCTCTGGTAGCTTGAGTTCATAGGCTACAATTCCAATTTTTCGAATGACCTCATATGGCCCAAAGAATCGAGCAGAGAGGTTCAGAGTTTTGCGAACTGCTACGGACGATTGACGGTAAGGCTGCAATTTTCGTTCTTGAAAGAACGCCCAATCTCCCACTTGAAACTTTCATTCTTTTCTTTTACCATCAGCATACAGCTTCATCCGTGCTTGTGTTTTTGAGAGGTTGTCGTGCAATATCTTGGACATCAACTGACGTTCCCTCAAGATTACATCTGCCACTTCCAATTTAGATTGAGCTATCAAATCAAATGTGGGTTGTGGTGGATCATAACCGTACAAGGCTTTGAACAGAGTCATGCATATTGCCGATTGGAAATTAGAATTGTACCAAAATTCTACTAGTGACAACCATCTGTTCCAATCTGAAGGTTTATGGCCCGTCATACATCGAAGGTAGGTTTCCAAACATCGATTTAATCTCTTTGATTGTCCATCGGTTTGGGGGTGGTAAGCAGTGCTAGGCTTAAGCTGGACTTGCAATCCTTTGAATAATTCCTTCCAAAAATTACTTACAAAGATTGGGTCTCTGTCTGAAACAATTGAACTAGGCATACCATGTAGCTTGCAAACATTAGCTAGAAACAACGGAGCAATTTGGTTCGCAGAATAAGGATGAGTCAAGGCAAAGAAGTGCACAAATTTAGTATACCTATCGATCACTACAAGCACTGAGTCCTTCCCATTCGATTTAGGCAGCCCAAGTCCATTGCAGTATGTTCCCAAGCTCTTGATGGTGTAGGCAGGGGCTGTAGAAGTCCACGATAAGCTACACTTTCTTATTTGTTTCTTTGACAAGTCTCACATTCAGTAATTTGTTTCTTGACATCTTGCAATAGAGTGGGCCAATAAAATAGTGCCTTGATTCTCTGTTGAGTGCCAAGTATGCCTGAGTGGCCACCCCAAGGTGTGGAATGCATATCATCAATCAATTTCTTTCTAAGAGAACCGTAGCTACCAACCCAAACTTTATCATTTTGTCTGAGAATCCCATTTTGCAGTTGCATCCCTTGAATTCCATTAGGATCAATGCTCAACTGGGTGATAAATTCTTGTGCTATTGGGTCATTTTGGTAGCTGTCTACGACTTCTTCAATCCATTTGGGCTGAACTACTGTAATACCATAACATTCCCCTTCCTCGAATTGTCTGGAAAGTGCATCAGAAGCTACATTCTTGACACCCTTGCGATATTGAATTTCATAGTTAAGCCCAAGCAACTTAGTAATCCCTTTATGCTATAATGAAGTAGTGATTCTCTGATCTTTTAAGAACTTAAGGCTGAAATGATCTGTTTTAATGATGAAATGGTTAGGTTGCAAGTAGTGACGCCACTTCTCCACAGCATGAAATAGAGCAATTAATTCCTTCTCATACGTAGAAAGTCCCAAATATCTAGGACTTAATGCTTGACTGATGAATGCAAGGGGCCTACCATTTTGCATCAACACTGCTCCAATTCCTTTACCACTAGCATCCACTTCCACTACAAAAGGTGATGAAAAATCAGGTAAGGCTAACACAGGTGCCCTAGACATTGCTTGTTTTAGCTCCTCAAAAGCTTGAGTGGCTTCGATGGTCCAGTTGAATCCCCCCTTCTTTAACAGATTAGTCAAAGGTTTGCTAATGATAGTAATGTCTTTGATAAATCTTCGATAATATCCTGTAAGGCCAAGGAATCCTCGTAGTTCTTTTACGGTCTTGGGCCTTGACCAATTCAGCATGGCTTCAACCTTAGCACCATCAGTGCTAACTCCTTCACTTGAAATGATATGACCTAATTATTCAACTTTATCTTGGCCAAAACTGCATTTTGATTTCTTGACAAACAACTGATTGGCCTTTAATAAGTCGAATATGAGCTACAAGTATTTAAGATACTCCTGCAATGAAGCACTATATACTAAGATATCATCGAAAAACACTAGCACAAATTGCCTTAGAAAAGGCCCAAAGATTTGATGCATGAGGGCTTGAAATGTTGCCGGCGCATTAGTCAGCCCAAAGGGCATGACTCTAAATTCCCAAAGCCCATGGTGGGTGCGGAAAGCTGTCTTGTACTCATCTCCCTTCTTCATACAAATTTGATGATAACCCGATCTTAAATCTAACTTAGAATAAAATCGAGCCCCGTGTAATTCATCTAATAAGTCTTCCATAACCGGTATAAGATACTTATTTTTGACTGTAATATCATTTAATTTCCTATAGTCAACACACATTCGCCAATTCGAATCTTTCTTTTTTACTAAGAGAACTTGGGAGGCAAAAGGGGACACACTCTTGGTTATAGTTTGGGCCTTGAACATTTCGGCCACAATCTCTTCAATAGCATTCTTCTGGTCAAAAGAATAGCGATAAGGTCTTAAGTTAATGGGTTTGGCACCCGGCACAAGCTCAATCGCATGATCACATTCTCTACTGGGAGGTAATTCCTTGGGCTCCTGGAACAATTCATTATAGCGGCCCAATAATTTCTCCACTGGTGGAGGTATCGCCTCCTTACCATCACGAGAACAACCCATTAAGAACACTTGGGCCATAAAATTCCATTGCCCTTTGTTCATCAGCTTGGATATCACCTTTGTCTCCACGTTGGACACCTTACCATCATTTGGACAACTCCATAAAGTAACCCATTCCTTATTGTGAAGGAATGTTATACTCAATGAGTGTGTATGAAGTATAATTGGAGATACGGTGTCAACCCAATCCATGCCCAACACCATGTCACAACCACCTACTTTTAAAATCCCAAAGTTGAATTTAAATTCCCTATCCTGCATTTTCCATCCCAGATTATGGCACTTTTTTTTGCACAACAAATACTGCCCATTGGCCACTTTAACTCGCATGGGCCGGCCCAACTCTTCCACAAAAATGGAACTTGTCTTTGCCACTTGAGGGTCAATAAAACTGTTGGTTGACCCACTATCAATTAACCCTACAACTTGCTGACCCTTAATCCAGCCCATAATTTTAATAGTTGAAGGGGTTTTACTCCTTCCAAGAATCATATTTAGAGTAACTTCTGCTTGGTCAGTGTCCTCAACCTCAATTATTTTCAGTTCTAGGACTTCCTCATGAGCATCTACAAATTCCTCAATATCCATGGTGTTAATGGCCTTGTTTTTACATTGGTGCCCCGGGTGATATTTGTCAAGGCATTTGTATCACAAATTCTTTTTTCGTATCATTTCTCATGTCATGTTCTTTTGATTTGGGTTGCGGGTGTTTACAACAGTAGGGTTTTTGGGTGGAGGGTGGGAAGCGTTGGATTTGTAGGGTGGTTGATTTGTTCTGGGAGGAGGTTTGTAGGATAATTATTTGTCCATTTGTTGGTAAAGTGCATTGCAGGAACTTTCGTGTTATTTCGCACAAGTATAAGCTTCTAACAATGTTTTGGGCCTGACAAATTGTACTAAGGGCATAATATCAGGCTTAAGTCCGCCAATAAAGCATGATACAAAATGTGGCTCTTTTAAAACAGGGTTAATTAGGACCATGAGGCACTTAAGCTCATCAAACATGCGCTTATAACTCTCAACATCAGTGGTTTGATCAAGGCGATTGAATTCTTTAACAATTTTGATGGGCATGTTATTTCCAAATTGTTCACAAATATCACTACAAAACTGGGCCCATGAAACATAGCCACCTTGGTCAGCTAAGTAACCATCCAACCAATAATCTGCAAAATTTTTCAAATGGATTGCCACATAATCGATCTTTTCATTATCCACCACTTGATACAAATCGAAGTATTTTTCACAACGACGAAGCCAACTCCTTGGATTGTTTACATCGAATTCGGGGAAGGTCAGCTTAGCTTTTGGAAGTTTGGACTGCAACCCACTCCAACTAGGGCCCGTGTTAGAGTGTGAAATTCCTCCTAAGGGGGTGGGCTGAATAAATCCCGTTTGGAAAGATCCAAGAGGTACTGAAAAGGGTTGTTCCATTGGGTTCATTATCAGGGGGTAAGTGGTGGGCTGATTTAAGGAATTAGCGGAGTTAAGGTTTAACATAGGATAGGTTTGGGGAAGGTATGGTTGAGTCGACATTGGGTACGAACTCATATGAGAAAAGAAAGGTTGGGTAGAAATAGGGTAGGTTCCCATTTGTGAAACAAAAGGTTGGGTGGTGGTAGAGGAAAGGTGTGGCATTGAGGATTGAGTATTTACTGGGTTGGATCTCATAGGTGGTCGAAATGCTGCGACTGAAGGGTTCAGGGGTGTGCTAAAGGAGACTTCATTAGAAGCTTTAGAGTGAGCTGGAGCACTACCAATCTGAAGAGGAGAGAAAGGTGGGGTTTGGTTTCGTATGTTACCTCCAACAGAGGACTGGCCCGTTTCTGACGGTGAGCCACCATGGATTCCGGCGACGTCCAATTTTTCCGATGGTCCAAGTCCGACTTGATTTTGGTTGTGCATAGCTAAGAGCATTTCTTCTATTCGCTTGGTAGAGCCTGAAAATTCCATCATTTTTTTTTCAAAATTCTCTTGCTTATCTTCTAATTTATCCATCCGTTTCATCGATTCCTCCATGAAAACTTGTAACTGAGCTTTGACTCTCTTCAACCCATCATCAGGGGTTAAATTATTTTGTTTATCCCCCATTTCCTGTTGCCAAGAACGGGGCTCTGATACCAAAATTGTAGTGATTCGCTACTGATTCAAAGGAAAATAAAAAATTCAATAAAATAGTAAAGAATTTAGATAAGGAAAAAGGGATTCATTTCATTCATATCTCTGATTACAATGATTGGAATCCTAAATAGTGTTCAGAGAAAAAAGGGCCAGCTAAGGAATTGTAACAACCTACCTCATTAGTAGACAAGTGTCCACCTTCAAGAAAGAGTAAAAGACTAGAAAAATGACAAAAGGACTTAACTATATCCTATGCAACTTAAGGACTAATGAGTAAATAAAGAAACTATTGGGTTCTATTAAGCTGGGCCAACTAATAATGAATTAAGCTTCATCAGCACATGTCGGACACCACAATATTGAACTGAGTTATTGTTTCTTTAATTATTCTTGTTCTTTAATGTTTCCAAAGGGATTAGCTAATCCTAGGACTCACCCATTAACTTTGAATTAATTTTGGAAAAGATAATTTGGGGTTGAAAAAGATTAATTAACAAGAACTTGAGGCGTTAACCCTCATTTTATAGATTCTACCTAGGGATAGGATTGAACAACTTGTAGCCATAATCGGGTGATCTTAATCTCTTAGTGTTTTAGGGATAATTCAATTAGGAAGTCCTGTTAGTCTTCGAAAAAAGCTAATAAAGAATTATTAACTGCAGCTAATTAACATAAACTCGCTCATATTTGTAAAATCATAAAATACATTGGATCGTTACTTGAGTGTAATGCCTAGGTTAGTTTATATTTTAGCATTTAGTTATAAATATTTTCTCAAAACCTTTCTAAGTGTTTGGCTTAACATAATAAGTGATAATTCTCTTACAAGCCTAATCGCCTACATATTATTTTCTGTTGGATTTGACCCCGACTCATAGTTGGGTATATTATATTGCATAGGACCGTGTCCATTTACTTTTTAGTAGTGGATTTGGACGACATCAGACAACACCACATAATTGAAGATCATTACTTTAACCTTAGCCCGCAAGCCTTAGAACACAATTTCCATCATCCAGAATTCCTTACAAGACCCGAATCTCACACCTATATACTGTATAAATCAGAACAAGTTGTATCAAGCCATAACCATAACCCTAGATGAAATCACATGACATACAACATAACTCGCATACCCATGGCAATAGTTCTCGATCACAGTAGCTGCTCAAAACAAACATGATACCGGTAGTAAACCTCATATCAATAAAACCTCATTCAAAACCTTTGTACACTGCCGATGATGACAGAAACATGTAGAAACTCATAACCAGTCATTAGATCAATAAGTCATGGAGCTCTCTCTCGTTCAACAAGAACCATAGCCAATTCCTAAGCTGACTCACGATATTATTCTTCCAAACATACCGTAATCAAATCTGATAGTATCCATTCTAGGTCCAATGACCTTATCTCATCAAACACAACTATTCTATTGACATGCCACACCGATACAACCTAAAGCCACAACTGTGCAATCTGTACACCAATAAGAACCAATTCAAATGTACTCAAACATAGAAAATGACTCAAATGAGAGAACTGTCCCTCACGCTCAACAAGTGCCACCACAAACGCAATGCTACAAACCCATCACACATAGTAGAACATAAACATGCAAATCTTAACTCAAAAGATCATATCTCAACATAACTCCGCTGAAATGCGTGACCTTATCCAAACATTGTCCTATGAAATACCTCAAGCCACGATGCTCAAAATTAACAACCACACGCAATTCGACATCAAGTACATGAAGTGCATGACCAAAACCATGTAGAAGCGAATAACACAATATACTACAGCCCCAAAAGACCATAGCCAAGGCGCAATCAACCATTGAACACCCTAATAACCATCTCGCTTGAATTCTGCTACAAGGCCCAAACAGAATCGCACCATGTGTGCACACAACCAACGAATCACAACCTCTTGTAGCATAGAATAGTAACATATAGAACATATCAGAACATGAACAAGCTCAACTCTAACTGAATGACACACCTTTCAGCAATAATGGTGATGAGTCAACAAATTCGACCCGGTGCAGAATACACATCCTCATTAGGCCTACCATGGGCCCCAAATCAACTCCGGTCATCCCCAAATGGATAAATGGCCCTCCAAAAGTTCACAATGACCTAACATAGCACGTACTACCATCTAGCTAACTTTGGACACATCTTCACAGTCCGCAACACCGAAACAATATGCCTCTTATAACTCCCAGTCTCCAACTCCATAGAACACACGAATCACCATAGCTGATCCTAACTCCACCACTCGAATGACTAATACATCTTTCATACACAATAATCCCACAAGAAATACTTCTATAATTCTTCTGTGCCACATAGCAAAAAGCTGAACATCAGCAGTCAATCAACCAAGCGAGTACCGCAATACCAATGAAGCATCCGTAAGTCAAAACATAGTGCGCCTTCTGAAACGCGCACCTTTCTCAAGCAATACCAAGTGGTAATAGCATTCATTTAATCATTTGAAACCATCCATGATGTCTAAGAATTCATGACCTTCCCTGCAAAATTGAACCGTGACCTTGCACAAGAAAATATCAATCCCATACGACGCACCACGTCTATCATGCCATCATATGAAAAGCATGAGAATCTCATAATCAACTATGAGTCACAAGCAGATTACATACTCAATTAGATGGAAACCTTCCACCTGATCCTATTCAGGAGAAAACCACAAAAAACTCCTATGCCTGTAGAAAATATCCATCCCAAGCCGTGGTAGAAATCATCGAGAACTCTACAAAGCCCAATTTGCACATAACCAAGCCATCTGAACCGAATCCCACTAACTCAACCAAGTCCCGCAGGTCACCCAAACCCAAGAGTATTGCCACAAAACACCTGTATAGACTCACTACATCATAAGTACCCAAAGAACCGATCATATCCATTACCGTGCGGATCCAACCTACTACCAAGTTGTCTTATTTCTCCGAGCTCCTTCTTAATTACCTTAAATCTGACATTTCTCCTTACCAGAACACCACGATCCCTACCCAAAGTTCATCACAAGAGATCCTAGCATAAAATCACAT